CAATGTCACTTGTATCTGAATACCCAAATAGTGTTTAAATCCATGAGCTTGACCAACGCATCTCTGTCATTCCCCAAACGAATGTATTGCGCATTCACATCGAGTTGCTCTAAAACTAGAAGACGGTGCATGTCGGTTATAAATGTACCTGTTGGCAGTCTTTTAGGCAGACACTTAAGGCTGTCTGTGGTCAATGGGCTAAAACAAAAAAATGTTTGCAATCTAACGAGTAGCTGTGCACTTTTCGGTGGAATAAAACAGGAGGGTCAGCGTTATGTAAGGCAGGAAGCTGAATGGTTGCGCTTCAATTGTCCCCACCACAATACCAACGTGTGGATGCAAAAGAGGAAGGTGTTCATGTATTCCTGCAATGAGGGTGGGTTGGAGACCAACCTACATGTCCCAAAAAGCAGACGAGGTCAATGATATGTGTGATAAGGCAGAAGGGTGTACCCAGCAGCATTATCTTTGGTAGAAAGCACAAAATTTTCGCTACAAAGCAATTTCAATAATGCAATAAAATTCAATCCTCACTAAGACGAGTGGAAATAGTCCAGAGGTGTGGTTCATAACATCTCTATCCACAGGTCTGCCAACGCTTGAAAATCCGTACAGATCACATGACTGGCGAGATAGTACTTATGGTACTGCATGCAAAAGCACCGCACTCACGAACGTCACGCCGAAAGTTGGGTGGATGCCATACAGCTATATAAGCGAGCACTGCTGAGCATACAAGTCAGTTGGAGGCAAAGGCAAGAGACAGTGAAAGGAATGGATTGCGGAGGTTGGCCATGCTCATACCCGTGCAAGTGGACTCCGTGGTTTGAGGTTGCGAAGAGCTCGCAATGGGGACAGAATTCGGCGTGGTGGTCTGTGCAGAAGCCGCAATGCTGGTCGGCATGTGCTTAGTGGTGGCAACAACCGTAGGGGTGTTCGCAACAGTGGTGGTAGACGGTTGTCGCCACCACCACTGAGGATGTGCTTGCAACGCCACCTGCGAGGCGGTCTATGGATGCCATGGAGCAGGAGAAGGAAGAGTAGGAAGGGGGAGAAGTTAGCTAACTATCCACAAACACACCTCTAT